CCGAGAAGACTAGAATATCTAAGCATTTCTTGATGTTATAGAAAGGTAGCAAATTCTTCTCAATTATTTTAAGACCTTGAGTGTTGGTCCGGCCGCGGCTCGAACCCTCGACCTCCCACACAACAGTCCAGCGCTCTATCCATTAATCTAACCGGAGGGCTTATTTAGGGAAGAGATTTATAAGGCTGGTTTAAGCTCGTAAACCTCCGCAATGCAACCCTCGATAGGATAGTATTTCCATTAAGTAATTCTATAAATGTTCAATGATGTAAAGATGCATGTAGTAAGATCCTCCCGAAAGATGTATCCTAAGCAAAGGACTCCAACTAGCCTGTTGACATTTATTTTAAAGAAATTATGCAAGCTTTTCTCGGAAAATGTGGAAGTGTAAACCTGATAAGAGAGCCAACGTTTTCCCAAATGACCGAACTTTATCCAAAGAGAACAGAATTGGCCCACAATAGGCAGAACTGGAGCAGGGCTAGCCAAAGTTTACCAATCCTAAATGTTCTAAGGGCTGTATTTCTCTATTTGAACCGTCGAGGCTCGATCGTTGCTTAACCAAGCTTCCCAAATTAGGAACGTCAATATGCATGATTACCTTTCACTGCGGGAAGACAACTTTGTAATTTCTTATTTCAAATCATTTTTCTAACACTCAGTTGTAAGTGTCGTTTATGAAAGTATCAAAGAATAACAGTTGGCCCTGCAGTAAGTTCGAGCTCTACACCTACGTGTTGTTAAGTTTGAACTTAAAGAAACATTTGACGAGTGAATGCTACAATTTCTGTCCATGAGAATTAAGTTTCTTCTGGTACTACTCATTTCTGAGATGCCATTACTGGATAGATGACATTAATCGTAAGCGATAGCGATATTAGCAACGAGAAAGCTCTTAAACAATTCGTGACTGAAAATTCACGATATGATCTGCATCCACTATTTATTAGCGGTCGCATCGGGATATGCCATTGTACTGAAAACGTCGCTTAGAAATCGCATTTGCTAGGAGCTAATATTTTAATAAGAAATTGCAAAATTCTAACCTCCTTTGCCGTCCAACTTGACCTTTTCTCTGACAACCGGAGTGTCTCTTTCACTCTTTGCCTCATTTCGTCCAACGTTCTCAGCTCTTTGTTAGGGATTTTTAGCGCCTTCAGTATGGCAACCATCTCCACGATGTCGTCGATCTCGTCAATGTCTGATAATGCACTCATGTTGCACAGCGATAAATTAAATGCTTATGATCAAAATTTTGTCAATTTCAGGTTTAAAATCTTTGAAAACTGCGAAAAGGGAAAAATATAAGTCTCAAAAGTTCAGCATCATCACAGTCCACTACACACCAAGTAGCTGATTACGGTCACGGTGCATTGTCACGCATCCCTACAACTGACGACCATTGTCAAAGCATGTCTCACAGTCAACCGCGTGACTTATCACGCAACATGCAATAAGTAAACATCGAGGGAGATAATCAAACATAGGTACAGGTACATTACATTCAGTGCTAGTCGTTTTGAATGTTTGTCAAAGATGAGGTAAACATCCCAACAATAGCAAGTCCTCAAAGACTGTGGTT